TCAGAGATGAGCCCACAAACTAGATCCAGTCTTCTCAAGTGTTTCTGGCTAATTTTGTGTGTGACACAGAATGTAGTAGGATAAATACTATTTCAAAACTTTTATTGTGTTTAAATTTGTTACTAGGCTATGATTAAAAATGTACTTCTTGGCCAGGCGTGGTGGCTCACGCCTGTAAACCTAGCACTCTGGGAGGCCAAGGCGGGTGGATCACGAGGTCAGGAGATCGAGACCATCCTGGCTAACACGGTGAAACCCCGCCTCTACTAAAAATACAAAAAATTAGCCAGGCGTGGTGGTGGGCACCTGTAGTCCCTGCTACTCGGGAGGCTGAGGCAGAAGAATGGTGTGAACCTGGGAGGCAGAGCTTGCAGTGAGCCGAGATGGCGCCACTGCACTCCAGCCTGGGCGACAGAGTGAGACTCCCTCTCAAAAAAAAAAAAAAAAAAGAGTATTTCTTACTGTGGCATGCAATAAAAAGTTTGAAAGCCATCGCCTAGTCCTTACAGGCACATGAGATGTCTGAGCAAGGAAGGCACAGGAAAGCACAGGGTTTTCCCAGCCTAACAACGAGGAGTGAGGAATTCCTGCCAAAGACAGAGTCTAGCCACCCATGAGGCTGATTCCTTATTAACTGGTCAATTTCTTAAAAAGCTCAACTCTTTTGGCCAGCACAGCTGGAGGGTGGTAAGCAAGAGGAAGACTGGAATAAAGCTGAAGAGGCAGGCAGGAACCAGATCACATACCCACTTGTAGACATACTATGGTGAGGAGTTCAGATTTCATTCCTAAAAAGGAAAGCCCTGCGAAGCTTTCAGCAGAGGAAAGGCATACTGTGATTTACATAAAAACAAAAACCACTGTAGAAAAAAGAGGATCACTTGAGCTCATGGAGTTCAAGATCAGCCTGGGGAACTGGGCAAGACCCTGTCTCTACAAAAAGAAAACGAAAGATACCCAATAAACTCCACGGAATAAGAGAGTGGGAGTAATTTAATATATTATTATTATTTTTTTTTTTTTAATATTTCTAAGAGACAGGGTCTTGCTCCACCATCCACGCTGGAGTGCAGTGGTGAGATCATAGCTTACTATAAGATCAAGCCTCCTGAGCTGGGCCTCAACGCATGTGGTACCACACCTGGCTAATTTTTTTAATTTGTATTTAAAAAACGTCACCCAAGCTGGTCTCCAACTCCTGGAATCAAACAACCCTCCCGCCTCAGCCTTCTAAAGCACTAGGATTACAGGCATGAGGCACCATGCCAGGTCCTCATTAATTTTTTTTTAAATGTTTGTCAAATAATCAAACATTACTCATTTTATTTTTTATTTTAAAAAGAATGCTTGTCATGTAAACCCCTACATTTGGGGTCAGGCATCAACTGAAGGGAAAATGCCTTCCTTTTGCTGGAGTGTCCCAGGTCTGGTGGCAAGAAATGGCTTCTCTATACTGCCAGCATTCTTCCTGGCCCAGTCTGTGGCACCTTCTGTAAGGGAAAGATGTGTGTCCTGAAAGGCCCCACCATCTGCCAGTCTTGCTGAATCATTCCTTATGGCAGCCCCAAGTCTTCTCTGGTCCACCCCTGCCACAGGTGGAGTATTACACTTTAAATCAAAAACTAACATGAGTCTCAATCACTTTTCTACCACCTTCAATAGGTTCTTTCACCTCCTTAACAGCTTAACTTATCCAATGCTTGTGTACACTTTTTCTCACCTCAACCTGCAAAGTGTACCCCCATCTAAAATAGTCACTGCCATCTTCTACCAAAACCACTTTCTTACCACCAGTTCACCAATTCCTCAGGGCTCCAATTCTTCCAAGAAGTTTTCTCTACAGTAATAACAGGGGCATCTGAACAGGGGATCCCGTAACTTTCTCTTCACTTGCACTTGCTCACAACTTTTGTATTACTATCTATCTTAAGTATAAGCTTTCCAAAAACAAGGACCAGAATAACCTTAATTTGAAGAGTGCCAAGATTTGGTCACGCATGAAGCAATATTCAGCAGCTTTTGGGGCTGAAAATCCAACTGTTACTTGTAAGTGTTTAACAGTACTGGCTTCTTGACTTTTGGGGAGAAAAGCACTGTCAGTATAGTAACACTAAATTTACTTAGAGTTCTTAAGTACAATGCAAGCAGAGCTTGGAAGCAGCTAACCACAGATTCCCCAGGTTCTCTATGCTTTGTAGGCCCAGAAGAAATGGCAGGCTGGGTAGAGAGCGTCTATGGGGAGGAAAAGGTGGCAGAGCTGGGTTGAGTCAAACCAAGCCAAGCATGATATAGGTTCTCTTCTAACAGTTTCCCAGCAGCAGGCACTGTATGGAAAGTCCAGCTTCCGTCCCTTAGTTACCTTCAACCTCACTCCTTTTTTTTATTTATTACTCTAATAAATAAGAAACAAGGTCGGGTGTGGTGGTTCATGCCTGTAATCCCAGCACTTTGGGAGGCCAAGGTGGGTGAGTCACAAGGTCAGGTGTTTGACACCAGCTTAGTCAACATGGTGAAACCCAGTCTCTCCTAAAAACACAAAAATTAGCCAGGCGTGGTGGCATACGCCTGTAATCCCAGCTACTTGGGAGGCTAAGGGCAGGAGAATTGCTTGAACCTGGGAGTGGAGGTTGCAGTGAGCCAAGATCACGCCACTGCACTCCAGCCTGGGCAACAGCAAGACTCCATCTCGGGGGAAAAAAAAAAAAAGAAACAAACAAACAAAAGCAGACTCCAGTAATCCTGTCACAGGTATCATGGAAGGTTTTGGAATTTCAGCTTACTGATCTTCCTCTTCATCCTACTTTAAAACTTTCACTAAGCATCATTAAGCTTAATGGTTTACAAAACAAGAACAAGTGTGTATATATGCCAAGGCACACAGCGCTCAACACCACAAAAGCAAGGACATACATTTTATACTAGCTGTACCAACATCACAGGACTGAGGTTTCAGGGGACCTTTTCACTTCTCTTTCGATTACAGAAGGATTCTAGAATACCAGGGGCCAATTTGAAGACAGGAAGACTCTTGGAGATAGAAGTTTTACGTTCCAAAAATGGGAAGGAGATATTAAGAGCCAATACAGCAGGGAAATAGTCAATCTGACAGAATAGGGGTCAGTTCAGGGAAAACCCAAGTGTGGTGACCGAGATAGAGCCCACTGGTGAAGTTTTATCACGGCAGAGAATGGCGGTTCTGATCCCCAGCTGTGTGAATGTGAACTAAAGCTCTTATGGAAGACTTGGCAGCGGGGTGGACTGATTACAGAGATGAAAGGAACCAAACAACCACCTCGCCAAGTAAGAGCTAACATTGCTGAGTGCTTACTATCTGCTAGGCACACTGACAAACTGAGAACCAGAAATTAAATAACATGCTCAAAGTCACACAGCTAGTAAGTGCCAGAGCTAAGTTACAAACCTAGGCATTCAGTGTAGCTCCAGAGGCCTTACTCTAAACTGCTATACTATGCTGCCTCTGCACAGAAGACTTCAAGAATGAGCAATGCTGGAGACATAAAGGGAAGAGAAGTACAGTTAAATGCGGATTTCCTTCTACGCTGGGTACAAGCGGGATTCACAGGGCATCTGGTAGAACACCTAAAAGGAGTCTGCCTCCCTAACAAGACAGGGAAAAGCTGCAGGAAGCAGGAAAAGAACAGCAGATTGAGTCGGACAGACCCAAATGAATAAGTGAACTGCAAAGTGCACAGAAAGCAGTATCTCAGTCATGGTCAAACACCACCTCGGAAGCTGGCCCTACTCAACAACAACCCGGGAGATACCATCGAGGCTTGGGACCCACGGGAAGCATCTGAAGCTACGAGAGGGAGAAAAGAGGTGTGGGGAGTAGGGCTACAAGGAGCACTTTAGGTGGCTCCAGGACTCACAGCAACTCCCTCGCCCCACATTTTAAGAAAACGAGACCCAGAGTTAGGTAGCCAACTAGAAAAGTCTTTCTAATGTCACCGGAGTCCGAGCCTGGGTCTTCCCACCTCCGATACAGTGTCTCCATCTGCCTTTCCCGTTCTCCTGGCTGAGAGGCTGCACCCCCTGGCAACCACCAGGGCTTGGTACATTCAGTAGGCACTAGAGACACATTTATTTAATGACTGAGCGAGTGAGTGAATGAATTAAAAGTACTAGGGAAGGCGTCTCCTTCTCTGCACACTGCGGTGAGGGTCAGCGAGTGACCATAGTGAGTCCCTGGGCGGGCATAATATGAGGTCCCCAATGTGCCTCTGCCGGTTCTAGGAAGCACACGTCTTTATAGACTGCAAATCTCAGGGCAGCCCGGGCTTCCAAGTCTAGCGCCGACCGCGTAACCACGGCCGACCTGCACTGTTTCACGCAAGTCCCGGTCATGCGGGGCTCAAAAAGAGGTCCTCGACGTGGGTTTGCGGGCCCGAAGCACCCTGGGACTTGTAGTCCCCAGCCGGCCCGCCCAGAGACTCCCCTAAAGCCCCACGCAGCCCTCGCCAACGGCTCAGCGCCGTGCTCAGGCCGAGCCAGGCCGCGACTGCCCGGGGTGGTCCATAAGCTGGGGATCTGGGCGAGAACAGAAGCGTCAAGTAAAAAAGGGTCCTACAGAGTAAGCCCCGGCCGAGTAGGGCCGGCCACCGGCCAGATAGCAGCTGATGGCGACGGATGCGCGAGACGCCACTCACCATCATTTTGGAAGCTGATTCAGCAGCCCGCCACTCTCCCCTCTTCTCCGAGACCCGGTCGCCCAGCAACCCACAATGCTTCGCGCAATAGAAATACCCAGAAGATTGGGCCGGGAGAGGAAAAGAACGGACCACTTCCGCTACTCTATGGTTCGTTACCACCGAGTCGGTGCGGCTAGAAGGACCTGAGGCTGGGCTTCCGGGGCTCGCTAGTGAGGGGTGGTCATTAAAGAGGGTATCACCGCATTTCGGTCGTGCTACTTTGAGCACGGAGGGTCTTTGCTCGGCCCGCATCACCTACTAACTTAATTCCACCTTCCTCCATCCCCGGGCGCCAGACCAAGGAATGCAATAAAGGCAAAAGTGTGGGACGCAAAGTGTGGGATAGGCTGGTGCCAAAGCACTTTACGTGAGCGATCTCATTTAATCCTCATAACCCTATTGCGTTGGTCCTATTATTAAGGCCATTTTACTGATGAGAGAACGGAGGCTGACAGGTTACGGTGTCCAGTGTCATAGTTACACAGTGTCAACGGGGCGAGCGTGGGAAGCTGGCCCCAAAGCCCGTTTTCTGACTTTGCACTGGCCAGAGGCTCCTCGTGGATGGCGTGCGCCAGGCCGCGTCCCCAGCGCCTATCCACGGTGAGTGCGCAAGCGTTGGTGGCACTGGGCGGAGAACCCCCTGGCGCAAGACGAGTGCCTTCCCGTGAAGGCGTGGGGAGGAGGGACGCGCAGCTGGGAGAAGGCTAATCGTAGTCAAGCGAGGCGGCCTTAGAGTGGACAGGACCGAGACCGCAAGGACTAACGGCCACGACTATCGGCAGCTGAAGCAAGTCCGGTACCGGCACACCGCCAGTGCTTGTCCTTCGCGGCCCGCCCACCGCCCTCGAGGACCAGGAGAGTGGAGTCCAAACTGAGAAATGCTGGGGCGGGGCTGAGGCGAGGGCTGGCTGTAGCTGTTAAGAGTTTAAGCCAATCAGCCCCCGGCTCCACTTCTCTCTACCAATAGAAAGTAGGCTAAGGCGCAGAGGCGGAAAGTGTGGCTACATGAGCAGGCGTCGGAGCCAATCAGCCGTGAGCCTCGTTCCCGTCGTCCAGCCCGCGGCGAGAGCGGGTATGTGGGCGGGAGGCCGGGGCAGCTGTCAGACTAAAGTCGGGAGAGCGACGCGCGGCGGGGCGGCGGTAGGAAACGCGGCGCCGGGCCGGGCCCTGGAGATGGTCCCCGGCGCCGCGGGCTGGTGTTGTCTCGTGCTCTGGCTCCCCGCGTGCGTCGCGGCCCACGGTGAGCGGCAACGGGTGGGACTGCGTTGCAGGGCGGGGCTGGCCGTCCAGCTTGCGCCGCGTCTCGGGTTGGGGGCCACAGGTCACCTTGGGGACCCCGCGAGTTCAGAGCAGGACAGGTCTGGGAGCGGGCGGCCGGAATAAGTGGGTGGTGGTCCAGGGACATAAGGTGGGCGCAGCCTGAGGCTGAAGCTCTGAGTCCTCAGCTTCCCACGACAAAGCAGATATCCCCACTCGCCCCTCCCCGCCCACTAGCGCCGACCCAGGTGACTTAGGGTGCGACCGGGAGGGACAGCTAAGGAAAGATACTACAGGCTGGAGATATGTATGTGAGCACTCACATGTACAGGAGCACACATTCCTACACGTGGGCACACACGCACAAACCGTTTACACCTACACAAGAACATAAATGTATACATCTATGCACACACATGAGCACATACGTATACCCACAACTTTACACAAATAAGCACACGCAAAGGCAAGCAAGGGTTGGGGAGGGACTGTTTGACGCTAGTCCAGGAAGGCTTTCTGGGGGTGTATTTGTATCTGACGGGGAGTCCCCACTCCCAGGACTGTATAGCCCAGTGCCAAGCCATGGGAGCTCTAACTGATGGCTTTGATTTGGGCAGTAAACAAAGACAGCTAAAGCCTTAATCAATCCCAGCCTTGGTACACAGTAGTGACTTAGTAGTTTGTTGATAGATCAATGGACTTCTGACAGCAGTTTTCTTTTTTTTTTTTTTCTTGAGACGGAGTCTTGCTTTGTTGCCCAGGCTGGAGTGCAGTGGCACCATATCGGCTCACTGCAAGCTTCGCCTCCCGGGTTCACGCCATTCTCCTGCCTCAGCCTCCCGAGTAGCTGGGACTACAGGCGCCCACCAGCACGCCCGGTTAATTTTTTTGTATTTTTAGTAGAGACGGGGTTTCACCGTGTTAGCCAGGATGGTCTCGATCTCCTGACCTCGTGATCCGCCCGCCTCGGCCTCCCA